AGTGACCCCTCATTTTGAAGGTCCTGGTAAAAGAAAACTAACAACGCAAACTAGAGGTTTCTATCTCAATCCAGTAAAAAATGGAAGCTGATTGTAATCTTTAGAAATCGGAAATAACTTGCAATTTTATATTCAATTGGCTGCCATATTTTACTGTATTAAGATAGAGACCTATAGTTTGCGTTGTTAGTTTTCTTTTATTATGACCTTCAAAATGAGGGGTCACTCAATGGGGCTTATCATTTAAAATTCTCGAGTTTCCCCCAAAATCCCCCATTTTGGGTTTAAGAACTTATGAGAATTTCAATTGGCTGCCATTTTGTACTGAACTGAGATAGAGACCTCTAGTTTGCGTTGTTGGTTTTCTTTTACCAGGACCTTCAAAATGAGGGGTCACTCGATGGGTCTATGTATTTCAAATTTTTGAGTTTTCCCCAAAATCCCCCATTTTGGGGATGAACACCAAGTGGCCGTTATGCCCAAAAAGTACTTCATAACATGCCATAATGGATTGCCGAGTTTAGTTTTTCTAGTATGGGCCGTTAAAAAAATAACAGGGGGTCTCCACACTTTTTACTAACCCTGTATATTTGGTGAGTGCAGTTATCCGTCCCTTTTCATAAATTTGCATTCAAACTCAACAATCTCAATTTAGTAGGCTAGGGAAAAGAACTGTCGTCCCCACAAAACTTCCTCTTTTCGCAGGGGGGGTGGATCCCGCTCTCTGCCGTGGTTGGTTCGGGAAATTCAGGGTGTCCGAGGTGCCAATTACAACCGGGCTGGTCTGAACCTTCAGCCTTCCACATTTGGAAGCAAATCATCCGAAAGTTCCCTCACACACAAAAAAAAAAAAAAAAAAACACACACCTATGATACCCTTCTCTAACCTTTAGCAAAACTGTTTTTTTTTTAGGGCTTTTCGTTCCTTGAAGGGGGGGTGGTTGTGACGCATAGCGGCACGCTATATTTCTTATAGTGTCAGCGCTTCGTGTGGCAGGGCTGCATGGCGAACTCGTCAGCCCACCGCGAGCAAGCGAACGGCTTCCCCCACCGACCTTTCCCAACCTTCTTCCCACTTCACCGGCAGCCACGATCAAGAATTCTCACAGAAGAAGTGTTCCCCAGGAAAAACCTACTAAATGGATAAGTCTTTAGAATAGTTGTGTACAATATATACTAGATTAATATGTCAGGCTAGTTAGCAAACAAGGGGGAGACCTACAAGGGTCGTCCCGACATTGAAAATGTAGGAATTAGGAACTTTACTGGTCCAGCCCTTCAGGCTCGGACCATTTTCAACATGATTAGGGCAACACGTTTTCACCAGAAGTTTCCATAGTTCCTTTCAATAAATGGGTTAGGCATTTCCTATTTAAGTAGTTCAATCACCAGTCAATCATTTCATTAACAGTCATTTTCTAGGTCACAAGTTTTGGAAGGATAGTTTTTAGTAAATTAGTTGTATTAGCATAAATCAAAGCTGGCTATGCAAGCTTCCGGTCTGGGTAAAAGATCTCCGTCCTCTGGTCCCCAACACGTCTTTCATTAAATAATTTGGTAGCAGAATCAGCACGCTTAGTTTAGTTTTACACCTCCAATCAATCAGCATCAATCAGATGACCCCCCAACGGCTACATATGGTAGCAGGCTAGGCCTAGGACCGGATCGCTTTAGCCAGTTTTGTTTTCACATCAACAGTCAGGCTAGGAAATTTTTTTTTAAGTGGAACCTTCTGGGGAGACAAATTTTCTGGTAACAAAATGTCTGTTCATGAGTGAAATTTCGGTTCATTAGAAAAAATTCTGTTTAGGGAAAAATTGACTTTGGAGGGAACTTAGCAAGATTTCATGAATTAGCCAACATTTTATTTTCAAAATTAAAGCAAGAGCTAGGATGATCAAGGTTAGTGTGACATAGGTAGGGTTTTGTCTGTGTCTGTTTGTTTCAGTGAGAATTTGCCACCTTCTAGCATAGACAACGGGAGGAACAGTGTAACAGTGTATCAGTGTATCAGTGTTGTGTTTGAAATTTAAATGTAAAGTAGGCCTAACAAGAGGCAATTTTATGGTCAGTAATCATTATTGGGTGAAGGTCTCTGGTAAGTCAAATAAACCTAAACCCATTTTTTATTAAAGTAAAAAAGTGGCATTTGGCCAGTTACAAGGTGTTTTTTGCCTAAGTTAGCTATTAATAAAGACCATATTGTTTTCGCAAGTAGAGTCAACACCTTGTAGTTCAGTGTTAGAGTCAGTGATATATTTGTTGTTGTATTATTAAATTAATAAATAGGCATGTGTATACCGAAACCTTGTGCTCACATTATTATTTTACTGTTCCAGTTGTAGGCCTACTATTTTTTGGTAGCTTACGGTGTCAAATTGTAACTTGTACTGCATTTATTATTGTCTAGTGTATTTTATGTCTTCATATTTGTTTCATTCACATATTTTGTCACACTATTGGTCATTCCTAGCAACATTAAATTCAAAATTATCATTAAATCATTCAGTAAAACAAATCTGTTGGGAAGTAAATCTAGGCCAATAGGGCCTATCTGAATTTTACTGCAGACACAAAATTGGTAGTAACTTACAGTAATACTCAATAGGCTAGTATTTTAAGCTTTGTATGTGTAGTATGAGTCCTTATGGTGTTGTTAGTTATGAGTTTATTTAGAAAATTTGTTTGCAAAAATGCTTAAATTGGGTTTTTGTTCGGCCCAACCGCTGAACGCATTACCATTCATCGCTCATTGCAGCAAGCTTTTATAAGGTAGCTTACAGCAATGTTTTGTTGTTTGGCGAACAGTGCTCATAATTTTTAGTGGTTTATTTATTTAAAACTTCTTTGCAAATCAGTGTAGCGACAGATTTTGGGACTTGTTTTAAGTTACAGTAAATTTTATGTCAGGTAAAAGGAAAAAGAGTGAGGTTAATAATTTCAGTTAATCGTGTTGATGTTGTTTCACAGTGAATAAATTATTTGTAGTTGATGTTAGGCTAGTGATTTTGTAGAAATTTAGTTGATTTTGTATGCTTCGCAAAAAACACTCCGATGTCGGTGTTTCCTTTGTTTGGTTTCCTTCATTGTTAGAAATAAATGAATCAAATAATAAGTTCAATGAAACTTCAGGTAATCGGCGACTCATATGCCGCACGATTTCACAATTTTTCTCAGGCAAATCCTGAATTAACTGGAAATCTGCAATCAGTTTTAATTCGAAGCATTTCTGGAGCAAGAGTGTGTGACCTCAAGAAGTTTATCAAGTCAAACACTTCTGTCATACAGTCGCATATTCCGTTATTAGTCTTTTTAGGTAACAACGATTTTTTGGCGAATGTGGAAATAACAGCTTTTAAGAACACCTTTTTGTCTTTTTTGAGATTATTGCGTCGGAATTATCCTGGAATGGTTATTGTCTTTACGACGTTGCCGCTTTATCCTAGGATAAGAAATTCAATGTCAGCAGTAAACCGTCTACGTCAAATGAACAGATTTTTGCTCACATTGACTTCCGAGTTCATCAAGGTAATAGGCCTACCCGACGAATTGGACGACGTAAAATATTTTCATGTCTATTATGGACGATCAATGCGTCGTGATGGGATTCATTTCAACAACGGCGCATTTTCAGCATTAGTTCCAGAAATAGAAAGAACTATCTCTCAATTTCACACATAGAATTTTATTTATTTTCACCTCCTTTTTTTACGCTTTTGGTAGTCAGTCTGGTTACTGTATGCTCCAGAGAACAGCTTCAACTACGAATTTTTTTCCACAAGACAAATCATGTCAAGCATTTGTCAAAATTTTTTGAAATGTCAGGGTTGAAAAATCTTTGTTTCTTGTCTCGGTCCCTTTTTTGTGCAAAAGTTCAATTTTCACAAAACAACCCATTTTACCCAGGCCGGAAAGCTATGCTAAGGTGATATTAGGTTAAGTCTTCTCTGTCTGTCGCTGTTCCCGCCAACGTCCGGTGGAGTGTGAGTCTCAGGGTATCCTTCCCTAGGATGGGTTGCCCTACACGTCCTCCTCCGTGCGTTGTCGGCCAAATCTTTCACCCCTCCCTTTTCGTCTCTGACACCCTCACTGAGTTAGGTAAAGAATTTTTTTTGTTGAATATTAGAGTGCTTAAACTTTCCACGGGTGCTTAAATTTTATTTTATTTTTTGTTATTTTACCCCGTAGGAAAGGGCTCAGTGATGGCACCTTCTGTGGTGGCTTGTGCACAGTCATTTGTCTAGAGACAAACTCTCTTACTATTCTTTCCTATCCTTCCTTGTCTTATTTTCATACTTCTTAACTTAAGTAGTCGCTAAGGTAGTAGCATTTAGGTCTAGGGATAAGTTAGTTACCAATCAATGTCAAATTCATGTACAGTTAGATATAGGAAACACAGAGCAAAAGAGAAAGAAATAGGATTTTTTTTTATCTTAAAAAAATACTCCAAAATGAGTGAGAATTTCCCAAAATCCACAATCACCTATCCTCACCTCAATTTAGCGCTCATCGATGCGTATATGTGCATGCGTAATTTTCTGCATGCGTAATTTTCTGCTTGCAAAATGTTCTTCAAAAAAAAAAAAAAAAAAACAGTTTTAATATCCTTCCAAACTCCCATCAACACACAGACCCCAAAGCGGGTTTTCGCGAGTTCCACCAGTCTGGCTTTGAGTAGCTCGGCCCCAACGAACCCATGGTTCATCTTTTGAGTCCGAGCCAACCCGTCAGTGATCGGACCTCCTCCTTGCGACCAACCTCTCACCACCTCCATAACGACAGTCACCTTGTTCAGAAATTTTAAATGACCATCAGCGGTCAATGTCAGTTTTTGATCCCAATCTTTGACAACTGTTACAACCAGATAGCTGCACGATCAAAAAAAAAAAAAAAAAATTAAACAAAGAAGTACAAATTTTATCAAATCTAAAAGAGTACGTCAGCTAAATTCAAACCCAAATTCTTCGTCAAGTGCGCAAAACATGTGACAACAATGGACACTATGAAGTAATGACCTTCATCTCCAGTAGCAACGGCAGTTTGACAGTCTTCCCCGCAATCATACGCTGAGAGAGTGACATCTCGCCATGGGCACTTCCAGCATCGCTCCGGCCTTGTCCGCATGAGCAGCCAACGGCACACTTTACCTGCATCCTGCACCGCTCCGGCCTTGTCCGCATGAGCAGCCGAAGGCACGACACATCATTACACTGCTGCTGAACTCCTAGCCCATGTCATCAACACACCTCTCAGAACCATCAGCATAGCACCGGAAGCCGCACCATTTTCTCCATCATCTGCCCATAGTACTCAACCCTCAAACATTTCAATAAAAAAATAAAAAAAAAATATATATATATATATACAGGGTTAGTAAAAAGTGTGGAGACCCCCTGATATTTTTTTAACGGCCTATACTAGAAAAACTAAACTCGGCACAGCTTTATGGCATGTTATGAAGTACTTTTTGGGCATAACCGTCCTTTGGTGTACATCCCCAAAATGAGGGATTTTGGGGAAAACTCAAGAATCTCAAATACAAAGACCTATCGAGTGACCCCTCATTTTGAAGGTCCTCGTAAAAGAAAACCAAAAACGCAAACTAGAGGTCTTTATCTCAATCCAGTAAAAAAATGGCAGCCAATTGAAATTCTCAGAAGTTGAATTTAACTTGGAGCTTTCCAAGTCTGGAGATCCCCTGTAAATTTTGTAGCGGCTCACACTAGGAAAACTAAACTCTACACACCTCTTTGGTGTGTTATGAAGTACTTTTTAAGCCTAATAGCCACTTGCTTACCAAACCCAAAATGGGGGATTTTAGGGAAAACTCAAAAGTTTTAAATGATAAGCCCCATCAAGTGACCCCTCATTTTGAAGGTCCTGGTAAAAGAAAACTAACAACGCAAACTAGAGGTTTCTATCTCAATCCAGTAAAAAATGGAAGCTGATTGTAATCTTTAGAAATCGGAAATAACTTGCAATTTTATATTCAATTGGCTGCCATATTTTACTGTATTAAGATAGAGACCTATAGTTTGCGTTGTTAGTTTTCTTTTATTATGACCTTCAAAATGAGGGGTCACTCAATGGGGCTTATCATTTAAAATTCTCGAGTTTCCCCCAAAATCCCCCATTTTGGGTTTAAGAACTTATGAGAATTTCAATTGGCTGCCATTTTGTACTGAACTGAGATAGAGACCTCTAGTTTGCGTTGTTGGTTTTCTTTTACCAGGACCTTCAAAATGAGGGGTCACTCGATGGGTCTATGTATTTGAAATTTTTGAGTTTTCCCCAAAATCCCCCATTTTGGGGATGAACACCAAGTGGCCGTTATGCCCAAAAAGTACTTCATAACATGCCATAATGGATTGCCGAGTTTAGTTTTTCTAGTATGGGCCGTTAAAAAAATAACAGGGGGTCTCCACACTTTTTACTAACCCTGTATATTTGGTGAGTGCAGTTATCCGTCCCTTTTCATAAATTTGCATTCAAACTCAACAATCTCAATTTAGTAGGCTAGGGAAAAGAACTGTCGTCCCCACAAAACTTCCTCTTTTCGCAGGGGGGGTGGATCCCGCTCTCTGCCGTGGTTGGTTCGGGAAATTCAGGGTGTCCGAGGTGCCAATTACAACCGGGCTGGTCTGAACCTTCAGCCTTCCACATTTGGAAGCAAATCATCCGAAAGTTCCCTCACACACAAAAAAAAAAAAAAAAAAAAAAACACACACCTATGATACCCTTCTCTAACCTTTAGCAAAACTGTTTTTTTTTTAGGGCTTTTCGTTCCTTGAAGGGGGGGTGGTTGTGACGCATAGCGGCACGCTATATTTCTTATAGTGTCAGCGCTTCGTGTGGCAGGGCTGCATGGCGAACTCGTCAGCCCACCGCGAGCAAGCGAACGGCTTCCCCCACCGACCTTTCCCAACCTTCTTCCCACTTCACCGGCAGCCACGATCAAGAATTCTCACAGAAGAAGTGTTCCCCAGGAAAAACCTACTAAATGGATAAGTCTTTAGAATAGTTGTGTACAATATATACTAGATTAATATGTCAGGCTAGTTAGCAAACAAGGGGGAGACCTACAAGGGTCGTCCCGACATTGAAAATGTAGGAATTAGGAACTTTACTGGTCCAGCCCTTCAGGCTCGGACCATTTTCAACATGATTAGGGCAACACGTTTTCACCAGAAGTTTCCATAGTTCCTTTCAATAAATGGTTAGGCATTTCCTATTTAAGTAGTTCAATCACCAGTCAATCATTTCATTAACAGTCATTTTCTAGGTCACAAGTTTTGGAAGGATAGTTTTTAGTAAATTAGTTGTATTAGCATAAATCAAAGCTGGCTATGCAAGCTTCCGGTCTGGGTAAAAGATCTCCGTCCTCTGGTCCCCAACACGTATTTCATTAAATAATTTGGTAGCAGAATCAGCACGATTAGTTTAGTTTTACACCTCCAATCAATCAGCATCAATCAGATGACCCCCCAACGGCTACAGAATATTGGACCTAAGCATGTTCCTTGGGGAATTCCTCTTTCTTTTGACAGGGGAGATGATACTTTACCGATGATTTTTGTTACCTGAGTTCTGTTTTTGAGGTAAGATTCGACCCATTTTAATGCTGTGTAATTAAATCCGAAATAGTGTAGTTTGGCTAACAACAATGTATGAGATAATGAATAAAACGCTTGAGAGTAATCCAACATGATTAAAGAGCTACATTTACTATTATCTTTTGTTTCCAAGAGATCATTATACAAATTTAGAAGCGAAGTGCAAGTGATATATTGTTTCCTGAAACCTGATTGTTGTTTTGGTAAAATGCTTTCTTTTTCGATAAATTCTGAAATCTGTTTGACTAATATTTTCTCTAGAACCCCTCTGATAATGTTGGCAGTACTAGGTATTAGATCTTTAACATTCGTCGAATGCTTAGTTTTAGGCAGTGGGCTCACAATACTTTCTTTCCAGGCATCTGGGAAGTATCCTGTAGCTAGTGACTGGTTTATCAAATGAGTAATTGCTGAAAGACAGTACGGACTCATTGATTTAATCATGAAAATATGTATACCATCATTTCCCTTTGCTTTTGAGCTTATTTCATTTATTGCTTTTTGGACCTCTAGTTCTGTTACGTAAGCAAATTGGAATGATTTGATGCCGTGTAATTTATTGGTCATGTAATATCCAATTAAGTTTTGATCCGGGCTTAAGTTGGATCCCATGTCAACGAAATGCTTGTTAATTTCATTAATACTCGCAAATTAATAATCGTTTGGTGTACTATCATCACCTACACTGCAACTTCGCATGACTGACCAGACTTCACTAGGTTTCTTTGAATTACTCAGGGTTTTAAGGTAGTAAGACCTTTTTGCTTTGTGTACTGAAATATTCAACTCATTCCTAATAGTTTTGTACTGTTCCCATTCTATGCCATCTTTAGTTTGCCAATATTTACGTCTTAACATATTTTTAATTTTTTATAATTTGTTAATGTCAGTAGTTCTCCATAGTGATTTTTTCTTTATAACACGCCTGCGCACTATAGGAACGTGTTTATAAAAAATGACATTTATATTTGAGGTATTGAATTTTTCAATTGCATTTACATTTAAAATTTGCTTAGCACATCCCCAGTCCACTGCCACCATATCTCTCACTGCACTTGCAATATCAAATTACGAAAAGTCTCTGTACGATACCATTTTATTTGCATTCTTTTCATCAAATTCAAAATCAATACATCCATGAAACATTTTGTGGTCAGTTATTTGAACTTCCCTATGGTCTCTTATGTTTGAGGTATCAATTACTCCACACCTAATTAATTTTGTGGTGTTTTCGACGATGACGTGGTCTATGAGAGTGGATGACTCGGCAGTGACCATGGTAGGCTCGTTTATCAGTATTTATGCTTTGCAAGAGACGTTTCATGTATTTTGCATCACTGTGATCGGAGAGTAGGTCGATGTTTGTATCTCCTAACACGATGACATTATTGACCCTAACTGCAAGGTCAATAAATGCAGCATTTAATAATGTTTCCACAGTGGTGAAGTTTGCATTGGGAGGTCTATACATAAAGCAAATTCAATTTTTTTTTGTTTTGGTATGAACTGTGACAGAGATATGCTCTAGTTGCTGATCAACGTTGTTCAAACTATTGACCACATAATTTATATTCTCTTTTATATAAATAGCAACTCCCCCGCCAGTTTTTCTTTTAGCATAGTTATTACTTTTTATGTCAGATCTCAGGAAAGTATAACCAGGAATGTTATAAGTATTTGAGGGAGTGTGAGGGCATAGCCATGTTTCTAAAATACCTATAAGATCGAAATCAACGTCTTTTACTACAGAGCACATCTCGTCAAAACCAGTTCCCAATGAGCGCATATTAATATGAGCAAACTTCAAGAAACGCCTCTTACTTACCCGTCGCTCATGTTTCCCAAACTCTCCGGGTGAAATATCTTTTTTGACAAGTTTATGTCATCTCGTTTGCCTTGTTCTGGCGAGATTGTGGATACTTTGCCATTAAAAGCCCAACTAATAATGACGCTGAATAACCTTTCTAGCTGAGCAACTCAACTTTTTAGTTTCAAGGCAACTAAATTACAGAAAATGATTAAACATATAGAACATCTCAATGTCAATGTAACCACTGTTCTTTATGTAGCTATTGAATAGAATAAGTTTCGAGGTACTCAAAAAATTGTTGGTACCTCTTTTGACATGTTTTGTTTAAGAGGGCGTAAAAACAAGACACATAATTTCTTGTCATTTTAATTTCAAATTATTGAAGTTAATTTCAACTATGTTTTATTAATCTTGAAACATATAAATCTACAAATAACTACATATTTATAAATTTATCTTCATCTATTCTCCTCTCGTACATTTACTAAGAACCATGCTTTTTTATTGGACAGGTAAAGTAATAAAAATAGCTAATGATTTGAAACATATTTAAGGTGGCGAAATAATGGCTTCAACAAATAGCCCTCTACGATTTGGTCACGTGTCAAGTGTAAAGTGTACCATCAATACAACACACAGTGTTCAGTACAACATTTTATGACTTAGAAACCAGCGTTCTAGGGTTTAATATTTAGTTTTTCATTTTTATTTTTTTCGTTGCTTACACTTTTACAGAAATGCCAGATTTACAATAGTATATAAGTATGTTGAAATAAAAAGAATTTTGCATCTCAGCAGTGTGGTTTGTACGGGCAGTAAACCGCTACCGCTCCATTCCGCTTGCATTTACTTCCAATATACTAATTCACCGCGCGAATATTGCACCGCTACCGCTCCGGTGTGTGTTCACCTTTCAAGTGAAAATGAATCTGACTTCAATTGTAAATTAGTTTGTTATGCAGATTTGCTGCCTGTGGTATTTTATTTTTAAAACATCCAAATTCATTTTTGTTAATCAAAACTTTTTAAAGAGCGTAAAAAACAAACAAATATTTAGTGTATGAAAGTTTACACATAATGCATCAATATGGGGATCTTATCCCATATAGTTCTACAGTGCAGTTTAATCCTCCACTATTGATGTGATTTGTAGTAATACGGGAGACACCCCATTAAGTTAATTTTTCCATTTATAATACACAATAAAGAGCGGACACATAATGCAAAAGAGTCCAAAGGTATCGGTAAAAAATAGTATCCCATGATATTTAATGTGACCACTTTTGATATGACTGGATGAAAGAGAGTAAACACATATCTATAGTATGATGAGTGTAATAAGTCATTCTGGCCAGACTATGAAAAAACAGACTTTACCGAGGGTTGAATGGCGTAAAATAAAATTTTTTTTGCCATTTTATACTCTGAAAACCTCAAAATTCTATGGGTTTAGCGCATGTGGTAAAAATAGCTTGAAAAATAAACCAAGTAGTATATAGAATTTTTTATTCCCCGATGAAGGGTCATGGAGGTAGGCTATAGGTAAAATTTGTACCCGATGAAATTTTAACCCTCTACTATTGATCAAACTCCAATTTTGATAAGATTTAATGTAAGAGAGTCGGTAAACACTTATCCAGCATGAAAAGTGGGTGCATTCTGGCCACCAATGGTGACAGGCTTTCTTAGAGGGCTGTGGTGCACAATATGAGTGTTTTTAGATTTGTTTACTCTGAAAACCTCCTAATTCCTACTAACAGAAACTTTTTAAAATACCCTAGCTAAAAGTAAAAACAAACAAATACTAATTGACATAATTTATTGTTTGATAAAGGGTTAGAGATAAAATTGCCAATATCATGAATGTACCATAGTTTTGAGTCCTTATTTGACTGAGGATAAGGAGGAGTTGACAAGGATGTGTGATAACTATTATTGTAATTTGGTTTAATACAATAAACACTCTCTCAACAGGTTGAGTTTTACTAACTGTCTTGATTAGATTATGTGAACTGGTTTTCATGGGTTTTGTGGTGTGAATATGGATTTGTAGCATATTTATCATGAAAACATCCAACAAAATTTCAGATATTTTCAGTACTACATATTCTTTAAATACATCAAGAGAGTTATCAAAATCCCTTTTATTTAGTTCGCTGATGATATAAAACTGTTTGTGGAAGTTGCTTCCCTCCATGATGTTGAGTCCTTGCCTAAGGCTCTTGATGATTTCTCAGCTAAGACTTGACCAAAGATAATGTTAAATCCCACCAAGAAGAAGTTGAAAATCATTAGCGTCAAATAAAATTCTCTGGATATTGACTATCTCCTAGATTATTATTTACTCATCATATGAGTTTGGGCCAGATATTCACCACACCTATTGCACCAAACCACACCAGACCTTTAGCATTCTCGAAATGATCTACTCTCCAAGACACTGAGCATCCATGCTGATCCATGCCACAGAAAAAATACTACTCCATGCCTAGATCCTGCTAGATCCAGTATAATATTTTTTTATGTGCAGCAACAACTAGGGTACTACTGTGTATTCTGGTTGCCTTTACCAGTGCAGCCTTTTTCACTGTCTTCGTTTTGTCCCAATACGGGAAGAATAAGCGTACACCTAGTATTATTTTTTACTTGGAGTAATAAGGTGAAATTAAAAGTTTGTATTTAAACATTTAAATACATCAATATAATTATTAATCTGTAATAAATGTTAAGTTCCCTAGTACAGAAAGGGGCTTCAATATGTATGGGACTATCGACTCCTGGGCTTACGAACGATTATTTCATTTTAGATTGACAACTTTTTATTGAATTTTTATAAAATAATACATCAAGCAAACCCCATTTCATGCCAAAAAGGTGGAATCTTCCATGCAATAAATATTGTCCACATGCTCTTTTGAGCTTCACTTTTATAAAATTTAACATGCATATCAAAAATGTAGATCAAAATTGCAGTCCACCTTCAAATCCTATGATTCACATGCTGAGTCACTTCTTAACTAGTCAATCAAACTTAACACTAACCTGAATATTGGCACCCTACTATTGAAATTTGAACGCATGGCCCAGGCTTGCTGTACATTGGACGCCACTCCTCATTAAATCTATCATTGAGCTTCAAAAAATGTTTAACAATTCTGGAAATTAAATTTCCCTAATTAAAACTACTACAAATAAATAACTAAAAAAGGTACAGCAAGCCACTTAGAAATTAAATAACAATAATAGAACTTTTAAATTTAACAATGCACAGAAATAAATTATGAACTTTAGCTCTAATTTATGAACTAACACTTATGAACATACATAACTAACATTTATGAAACTTTTAACACTTCACTTCTTTTTTTTTCACAAAACACATCACATGTATCACAAAATTAACAATTCTTAAAAAAAAACAACGGGCCATGCGTTCGATACCACTGATGGGGGTTCCCTACCATTGCCGATGGCCTGTGATATGAGTCACGTAGATGGCACAGTTGCCGATGGCCTGTGATATGAGTCACGTAGATGTTTCGTGACCACATGATCACATCAGAGACCATCTGGCGTCTAATGGCCTGGGCACAGCGCGAGGAGATGTTCAACAGTTTTAACACTCGCTCGTTCGCCATGTCCCAGGATCCCAAGGAACCCACGATGAACCCATCCAGGGTGACAGAGTATCCCTTGAGGCGAAGTTCATCAGCTAGCTGACGGTATTTCTCAATTTTGAGTCGTCTCGCGTCAGCTAGCACCCCGTACCTGTTTTTGAACGGGATAGCCACATCCACCAAGTGGATGCGCTTTTCCCGCTCGTTCGTGACGACCAGGTCGGGCCTCAAGGTACTCTCGACACCGGGAACGGTCAGGTCAACCCTGGTGGTTCCGGTCCTTTCCGGGATTGATTCGGCTAAGCGATGGAGTACTGCATCATGGCGCTTTCTCCAGCCCTCACTGGTCGGCTGGCAGTGGTTCAGCACGTGAGGCAGAGTTTCTGCCTGCTCACCACAGCGCCTGCACCTCCTATCGCCTTCGCCCCAACGCCTGCAACCGTTCAGAGGGACGGTGCCGAGGCGAGCCTTAAAAATAAAGCGCCAATCGGCAAATCGAGTGAACTTGCCGGCCTGGATGAAATGATTTGAATCACGGCATCGGCAAGCCACGTCGAAAACCTTCCCCTGATCAGGCTTCCTAGTGAGTGTCTTCTTCAACTTGAGCCTCATGGCAGTCTTGAGTCTTGAAAAGAGATGGCCCCTTGCTTCTTCTGGGACAATGACTGGACCGGAAGTGCCGTCAGGCGAGGGAATTCGAATTTGGAACTCCTCCCTGTCATGGTCAAACTTCCAGTAGACTCCGATTTTCTTTTGGAGCCTACCGGCGGCATTCCTCGCATCAGTCCACAGAGAACCGATGTCACCTCCATCCCTGGCAAAGTCACCGTCCAACCTACCGGACAAGTAGTCGGCAACCTCGTCAAGGGAAACGGGACGCCCAAGGCGTTTTCTGGCGACATGCGAAAGAGTAGCTCTAGCCAGGTCTTTCACCACAGGGTCAGTACACGTGACCATGCGGAAGGCATGGGCCACGGAGGATATGTCAACTAGGTCTGCCAGAGGGAACATTCCGGCCCCTCCCTCTGCCACACCCAGATAGACCACCTCAGCACTGGCTCGCTGTGGAAGGTAGAGCCACTTCTTCACCATTCTCTTCACGTCATTGTCGAGCTTCTTCAGTGGGGTCTTGGCCACCATGGCTCCTCTCATGATGAAGTCTAGCCGAGGGAGTATGAACATCCTCACGGCTTCCAACTTCTGCCAAGGTGCCAGAAGACTCTCATCAATCTTCTTGACATCTTCGGCCATTCTGGCAATGTCACGTTCTGGTGTCTGGTCAACTTTGAATCCTGTTGGCACCCCGAGATGACGGTACTCCTCGCCCTCTTTCAGACACACCATAGGAGCACCACCGATCTCGTACTCGGTCGCCAGGACTCGCCTGCGGTTGCGGCAATCCACCTCGAGGCTTGCGCACTTCCTGGGGTTAAACCTTAGGCCAGCCCAGGCAGCGACATCCTCCGCCGTCCTCAGGAGCCTGCGCATCTGCTCCTCGCCCGACGCAATCAGAGCCAGATCGTCCGCGTATGCCACGACAGAGAAGTGGCGTCCACCAAGACGATACCCGTCCGACTCAGCAGCACTATGTACTGCCCTGACCACTGGCTCAATGGCAAGGTTAAAGAGAATAGGGCTGAGCGGATCGCCCTGCTTCACCCCTGCCGCCATTGGTATAGGACCGGTAAAGCCTTGTGACGTGCGGACTCTCGTGGTTGCCCCGTGGTAAAGCTCACTCACCACGTCAATCAATTTCTGGGGCATCCCATGCATCTGAAGCGCATGCAAGAGGTAGCTGTGCGGCACAGACCCAAAGGCATTGGAGAGGTCAAGCCATGCAAGCACGACTCTTTTCCCTCCCCTTCTGGCGTCATCGATGGCTGATCGGACCACGAAGTTGTGCTCATAGCACCCCTCGTGCTCCATAAAACCTTTCTGGGGCCAGGAGATCCTGCCATTCCTGGCCCACTTGCCAATTCTGGAGGCCAGGAGCTCTCCAGAATATAATAGAGCTTTCATAAATTAATTCTATTCTCTATTTGATTTTAGATACTACAATCATTGATAAAACTGCTTGTACTGTATTTACCACTACTGTATACCACTAAGAGTTTCCAATAGCTAAAAAATTGTAATTGCATATTACATATCAGTATTCAACCTATACCGACCACTTTTTGGCATAGACATAAAACATTTATTGCCTAGTTATTATTTATACAAAATGTTAGGGAAGAGGTCTGTGTTATCATTTTCAATATAGGTTTTGCCATTGACTAATAAATAATGAAGTTGTGTTGATAGTCAAAGATTTTACTTAAAGCTATATACAGCGTCAATAAAAAGTCTGGAGACCCCCAATTAACTTTTTAATGGGTCACACCATGAAAACCAAACTCTTCATGACTCTATTATATAGTTTAAAAGTGAACTTTTTTTAGGTATTCCAAATTTCTTCCAAAACCCCAAGTTGCTTTATTTTTGGGGTAGCTCAAAAATTCCAATGTAAGGCCCTATCAGCTTATACTTCATTTTAAAGGTCATTAGTTTAAAAGAATATAGGTAAGAACTAAAGGTCCCTGTCTCAAACCAGTACAAGATGGCGATAGTTTTTAGTTTTTAGGGATTACATTTAATATTTTTGTGCTGTCCCAATATGCTTCATTTTGGATTCCCCGACAAAATTATTATACCCCCTAAAAATTACACAGTTTTCCGTATGGAGTGATAACCTTACCTGGTACAGTTCGATCAAATGTTAACAGGGGATATTAAAGTATGATTTTGAGTGGGATCTCTGATTTTGATGAAAACTAAAAACTGCCGCCATTTTGTATTGGGTTGATATAGCGGCCTCTAGTTTTCGCCCATATTTTTGGCCTTCAAAATGAGTTGTCACTTGATTATTGAGCTTTATATATTAAAAGATTTAGCTACCCACGAAATAACCCATTTTGGGCTCTCAGGAAAAACTTTTCATACCAACCAAGTAGTAGTTTTTAGTTTCTTGTTACGGTAATACTGTGTTTAGTTTTCCTGGTCCAACCTTTATTGGTTAACGTTAATAGGGAATAGTGATGTATATTTTTACATTGAGTCGTAAATATTGCCAAACTAAAGATGGCATAGAATGGGAACAGTACAAAACTATTAGGAATGAGTTGAATATTTCAGTACACAAAGCAAAAAGGTCTTACTACCTTAAAACCCTGAGTAATTCAAAGAAACCTAGTGAAGTCTGGTCAGTCATGAGAAGTTGCAGTGTAGGTGATGATAGTACAACAACCGATGGTACTTTCCTGGGGAACATTCATTATTATCGATGATTTATTTTCGATATATCGATATTTTTGTTTTACTTCACGATTGGTATTCCTTTTGTTCTTCAAATGCATTTAAATTACAAATTAAGAACTAACCTTGTCTAGGCAAAAAAATAAGCCTATATACTGGATTAGGACATGAAACTATTCTAAACTAACCCAACATAACTAACCAGACTTGATGTATAGGCTAAGTTACCGTTTCAAAATTCCATTTGATAACAGAAGAGAAAAGGCATACGGGGAATAGGCTATCAAACGGATTTTTGAAATGTTACAGCAAGTTTGGTTGGTTAGGTTAGTTTAGAACAGTTTCATTTCAATATAGGCTAATATTTTTTTATTGTTTGTTGATACTGAACAATATTTATTTACTGAATCCTATATCGTACTTGTCAGCTGATATGTTTCAATTTGTTACTATCAATATATCGGATGGAAAACAAAACTATCGATACATCGAAAATAAATCATCGATAATAATGAATGTTCCCTTTAACAGGAAAGTACCCAACCGATTATTAATTTGCGAGTATTAATGAAATTAACAAGCATTTCGTTGACATGGGATCCAACTTAAGCCCGGATCAAAACTTAATTGGATATTACATGACCAATAAATTACACGGCATCAAATCATTCCAATTTGCTTACGTAACAGAACTAGAGGTCCAAAAAGCAATAAATGAAATAAGCTCAAAAGCAAAGGGAAATGATGGTATACATATTTTCATGATTAAATCAATGAGTCCGTACTGTCTTTCAGCAATTACTCATTTGATAAACCAGTCACTAGCTACAGGATACTTCCCAGATGCCTGGAAAGAAAGTATTGTGAGCCCACTGCCTAAAACTAAGCATTCGACGAATGTTAAAGATCTAATACCTAGTACTGCCAACATTATCAGAGGGGTTCTAGAGAAAATATTAGTCAAACAGATTTCAGAATTTATCGAAAAAGAAAGCATTTTACCAAAACAACAATCAGGTTTCAGGAAACAATATATCACTTGCACTTCGCTTCTAAATTTGTATAATGATCTCTTGGAAACAAAAGATAATAGTAAATGTAGCTCTTTAATCATGTTGGATTACTCTCAAGCGTTTTATTCATTATCTCATACATTGTTGTTAGCCAAACTACACTATTTCGGATTTAATTACACAGCATTAAAATGGGTCGAATCTTACCTCAAAAACAGAACTCAGGTAACAAAAATCATCGGTAAAGTATCATCTCCCCTGTCAAAAGAAAGAGGAATTCCCCAAGGAACATGCTTAGGTCCAATATTCTGTAGCCGTTGGGGGGTCATCTGATTGATGCTGATTGATTGGAGGTGTAAAACTAAACTAATCGTGCTGATTCTGCTACCAAATTATTTAATGAAATACGTGTTGGGGACCAGAGGACGGAGATCTTTTACCCAGACCGGAAGCTTGCATAGCCAGCTTTGATTTATGCTAATACAACTAATTTACTAAAAACTATCCTTCCAAAACTTGTGACCTAGAAAATGACTGTTAATGAAATGATTGACTGGTGATTGAACTACTTAAATAGGAAATGCCTAACCATTTATTGAAAGGAACTATGGAAACTTCTGGTGAAAACGTGTTGCCCTAATCATGTTGAAAATGGTCCGAGCCTGAAGGGCTGGACCAGTAAAGTTCCTAATTCCTACATTTTCAATGTCGGGACGACCCTTGTAGGTCTCCCCCTTGTTTGCTAACTAGCCTGACATATTAATCTAGTATATATTGTACACAACTATTCTAAAGACTTATCCATTTAGTAGGTTTTTCCTGGGGAACACTTCTTCTGTGAGAATTCTTGATCGTGGCTGCCGGTGAAGTGGGAAGAAGGTTGGGAAAGGTCGGTGGGGGAAGCCGTTCGCTTGCTCGCGGTGGGCTGACGAGTTCGCCATGCAGCCCTGCCACACGAAGCGCTGACACTATAAGAAATATAGCGTGCCGCTATGCGTCACAACCACCCCCCCTTCAAGGAACGAAAAGCCCTAAAAAAAAACAGTTTTGCTAAAGGTTGGAGAAGGGTATCATAGGTGTGTGTTTTTTTTTTTTTTTTTTTTTTTTTGTGTGAGGGAACTTTCGGATGATTTGCTTCCAAATGTGGAAGGCTGAAGGTTCAGACCAGCCCGGTTGTAATTGGCACCTCGGACACCCTGAATTTCCCGAACCAACCACGGCAGAGAGCGGGATCCACCCCCCCTGCGAAAAGAGGAAGTTTTGTGGGGACGACAGTTCTTTTCCCTAGCCTACTAAATTGAGATTGTTGAGTTTGAATGCAAATTTATGAAAAGGGACGGATAACTGCACTCACCAAATATACAGGGTTAGTAAAAAGTGTGGAGACCCCTTATTTTTTTAACGGCCCATACTAGAAAAACTAAACTCGGCAATCCATTATGGCATGTTATGAAGTACTTTTTGGGCATAACGGCCACTTGGTGTTCATCCCCAAAATGGGGGATTTTGGGGAAAACTCAAAAATTTCAAATACATAGACCCATCGAGTGACCCCTCATTTTGAAGGTCCTGGTAAAAGAAAACCAACAACGCAAACTAGAGGTCTCTATCTCAGTTCAGTACAAAATGGCAGCCAATTGAAATTCTCATAAGTTCTTAAACCCAAAATGGGGGATTTTGGGGGAAACTCGAGAATTTTAAATGATAAACCCCATTGAGTGACCCCTCATTTTGAAGGTCATAATAAAAGAAAACTAACAACGCAAACTATAGGTCTCTATCTTAATACAGTAAAATATGGCAGCCAATTGAATATAAAATTGCAAGTTATTTCCGATTTCTAAAGATTACAATCAGCTTCCATTTTTTACTGGATTGAGATAGAAACCTCTAGTTTGCGTTGTTAGTTTTCTTTTACCAGGACCTTCAAAATGAGGGGTCACTTGATGGGGCTTATCATTTAAAACTTTTGAGTTTTCCCTAAAATCCCCCATTTTGGGTTTGGTAAGCAAGTGGCTATTAGGCTTAAAAAGTACTTCATAACACACCAAAGAGGTGTGTAGAGTTTAGTTTTCCTAGTGTGAGCCGCTACAAAATTTACAGGGGATCTCCAGACTTGGAAAGCTCCAAGTTAAATTCAACTTCTGAGAATTTCAATTGGCTGCCATTTTTTTACTGGATTGAGATAAAGACCTCTAGTTTGCGTTTTTGGTTTTCTTTTACGAGGACCTTCAAAATGAGGGGTCACTCGATAGGTCTTTGTATTTGAGATTCTTGAGTTTTCCCCAAAATCCCTCATTTTGGGGATGTACACCAAAGGACGGTTATGCCCAAAAAGTACTTCATAGCATGCCATAAAGCTGTGCCGAGTTTAGTTTTTCTAGTATAGGCCGTTAAAAAAATATCAGGGGGTCTCCACACTTTTTACTAACCCTGTATATATATATATATTTTTTTTATTTTTTTATTGAAATGTTTGAGGGTTGAGTACTATGGGCAGATGATGGAGAAAATGGTGCGGCTTCCGGTGCTATGCTGATGGTTCTGAGAGGTGTGTTGATGACATGGGCTAGGAGTTCAGCAGCAGTGTAATGATGTGTCGTGCCTTCGGCTGCTCATGCGGACAAGGCCGGAGCGGTGCAGGATGCAGGTAAAGTGTGCCGTTGGCTGCTCATGCGGACAAGGCCGGAGTGATGCTGGAAGTGCCCATGG